ACAAATGTTTAGTCTAAATAGCTTAAATCTCATAACATTTTACATTTATATATACTATTTTTATTATATTGACCTTCCAGCCATGCCTGGCTAACAATACAGAAGTTACAATGATGTGGTGCACGTGCACTCGTGATACCGTATCCAATAATATAACACTGACCTTTAGTCTTTACAACGTAACTTGTCTTGGCTGTGTTTTAGTGGACTAGTATTTTGTAAAATACAGTCACATTTCAAATATTATACATTATATATACGTATATACATTAATACTATTTACAAATAAGTTCTTAAAAATATATTTTTGTTAAAACATGGAACAGTAAATAAAGAAGTAAAGCAAAAAATTCTCTCTTGTAGTTACAGTTACGACCTTTGTTCTCGTTTGCTGTTTGTCATAGGTTGCTAAGCCTTACGAAATTTCCCACGTGGAGGATGTGAAAATAAAAAGAATTTTAAAGTTTTATATAAACATTTTAAATAATGAAAAAAAAATCTGAAGTTACTTTATCAATACCATATAATTCCACTATCATTTATCAAGTGTAGTAACTAAGCTGTATTTGGGTCTAAAAAAGTGTGAAATTTCTCACTAAAGACTTACCTTATCGTTTGAAATATTGTGTGAAAAGTATGAGATTAACACAATACCATGTCAAAAAGGCTTAAAAAACCACTAGGGGGACATTCTGAGCTTTGAATTGTTTATTCATGTCATATACAGAAGTAAGTGTATATAACGGACCATTTCCAAAAATGGAAAGAGGTGGGTGGAGGACCACTGTGTTTGATTCAGTACATGAGCAATATCTTAGCAAATCTAAAAGTTAAGAGGTTCTTATTTTATATTCTAGTTTGTCAATATCTGTAATTTGAGTTCCTAATTCATACAAATCTACAGACTTAGTATTTTGACATCACAAACATCTAATTTGAACCAGTGCTGCATTCAACATACCATGTGACACATAACAATCAATGTTTAGCTGTGTTTTTTAATACTTACTTTTAAATTAAGAAATTAACTAATGTATAATACTAAAACTTGAATTATAATCTGCAGTTTGATACCAAACTTACTGACATAAATTCATAAAATAGTAGTTCAATAAAATTTTGAGTACAAATCAACAAACGCAATGACATGGCATTTGACACGTGACCCGTCACGATAGGATTAACACCACTTCTGATATAAAGCAAGCTAAGCCTTAACACCACTTCTGATGGTTACATATTATATAAAGCAACCTAAGCCTTAACACCACTTCTGATGGCTATGTGTTACAACAAAAAATCTTTACTGTAATTCATATCTGGTTTCAATCACCCTGTTTCTTTGTGTTTCCTGTTCAGAAATTCTGTAAGTTATAATGTTCATTCTAACACTTAGATCATCATGAAAAACATATTTTGTAGCAGTACTCCTATTCAGCAGTTTCTGTATCACTGTGTTAAGTAAAGAGGTCTTGATGTTTTTCTGATGGTTATGTGTTATATAAAGAAAGCTAAGCCTTGACACCACTTCTGACGGTTATATATTATATAAAGCAAGCTAAGCCTTAACACCACTTCTGATGGTTGTGTATTATATAAAGCAAGCTAAGCCTTAACACCACTTCTGATGGTTATGTATTATATATAAAGCAAGCTAAGCCTTAACACCATTTCTGATGGTTACATATTATATAAAGCAAGTTAAACCTTAACACCACTTCTGATGGTTACATATTATATAAAGCAAGTTAAACCTTAACACCACTTCTGATGGTTACATATTATATAAAGCAAGTTAAGCCTTAACACCACTTCTGATGGTTATGTATTATAACAGAAAATCTTTACTGTAATTCATATCTGGTAACTTTGCGTTTCCTGTTCAGAAATTCTCTAAGTTATAATATTCATTCTACCACTTGAATTATCATGAAAAACATATTTTGTAGCAGTACTGCTATTCAGCAGTTTCTGTATCACTGTGTAAATAACACTGGACATTTTTAAAATGGTACAAATAAAACAATCCCAGGCACTACCAAAAGCATGTTTAATAAGAGATGTGACAAGCAGAGATTTTAGTAACTTTCCAGGTTTATGTGTTAAATATAAATGGAGACCACAAAGAAATTAAAATTAATCCTCAATATGAAAAAAAACCAAGCCTGTTGGTTAAAAAAAAAAGAAGACTGGAGTATTATTGCTTTTTTCTATCTATCTATTACTTCACAGATATTATGTATGATAGAAACCTCTGTTCCACAAGAGAATGAAGAGTCACAATTAAATACACAGTTCCCTTAAATACCTTATGTATAATAACATTTTTAGGCCAAGTGTTGCTCGAATCCTTGATGAAATCACCATGGTTTCAGAAGTTCCACTTTACTCCTTTTATCTAACTAACTAACTAACTAACCTGTTTGGAAACTTCTTTGTAATCTGGTGGAGGCCTAGTCAGAAAGAATTGGGGTTCTGTTGCAGTCCTCACAGGTCCACTTTTGGCACTCCTATTAGAGTTAAAGTTAGGAAGTGATCCAGTCCTAAAAGAGATAAAGTAATTTATATTGAAGGTGGACAGTCCCTAGTTCAGAAAAATTACTTTTATCCACAACAATAGAACATCGCCTGAACTATGCTAAGAACACAGACACACACATTTAAGTTAAAATATATTTATAAGCCCAAACTGAAGGACAAATTTTTCATTTCATCCTAAGAAATCTATCATAATAACTACAAATTATGGTCAGGTGAAAATTAAAATTATCCTTTCCATTTGTGGAAAATAGTAAAATCAAATAATCGATACAGAGTAGGAGTTGACCAGACCAACTGTTAAACAACACTTACCAGTTGCTCTGTCCTGTAGAGAATGTTTCACAAATTACTCATCTGTTCTTGAGTGTATTGTTAATCGATACAGAGTAAGAGTTGACCAAGACAACTGTTAAACAACACTTACCAGTTGCTCTGTCCTGTAGAGAATGTTTCACAAATTACTCATCTGTTCTTGAGTGTATTGTTAATCGAT